ATACGAAACAAAAGTCAGTTCTGCGTGAACAAATTGCTGTTCCGGCACGGTAAGTAAAACTTGACATTAAAACCTTGTATTGTCAAAAAGACTGAACAAAAGCACTTTACAAACAAACATGTCGCCAGGTATTTAAAACAAAGATGGATCTTTTAATGAAGTCACGATTTGCGAAAAACAAACCAACATTCCAATCGAGAGATTAAATTGAAGGTTCCTGCTTTTAAAAACAAAGCAGTGGGTGGCTTATATGGAGTACAAATTACTTGCAATGTTGACACTGGATTTAAAGGCTCTAAGTTAACTCAAAATAAGTCAGCGCTTTATGTAAACGCAGAGGATATGTGCCTCGTCGATGTACGGTTCTTGTCTTTCAATCGTGCATGTGTGATAATTTCATCCGATTAACACGCGCGTACAGACTTGTCTCCGAATGAACTCTTTTTCCAATAGTCAGTTAAAAAAGTACTTTATCCCGCAGTGTCTTGTGTTTGTTTAGAGAATAGTTTCTTTTTCCTCGCACAACTTGGGGTGGAACAGATGTTTGTCGGCATTTTGTTTGGGGAGTGCAAGTTCATGTTGCTTTTCGGACATGACTCCTTTCTCTCCAGCAGTGTCGAGCTCCTTGCAAAGTCTGTTCAATAAAGCTTCGGTTTCGCTGAGCCAGAACAAAGTGTCTCTTTCTGACACGACCTGGAATAGATCTCGACTAGACGACGTGTTCTCATACAAAGATTTATGAGTATGAGGCTTGGTAGAGCTGTTGATGTGTACAGTGTTATCACGGCTTCGCTTCCAAGGTTTGTCCATGGGAGTGTAGAAAGAAGCATTTTTCCGTGATTCATTTCTCTCCATGAAAGTTTTTTTAAGTGGTTTGGAGACAACTCCGTGCCCCAGTTTTGTTCCGGAACTTTTAATTCCATTGGCAATGGCGTTGTCGTGTCGATCGCGATTAGCACCTCCTTTCAGTTCTTTGAAACGCGCGCTGTTTTCTTTCACACCACAGGCCGAGTCTAACGTGGATGTTTGACTCCTGAAGGAGTCTTGGTGAGAGCGGAAATTTGCCGCGAACATAGTTTCACTTCTTTTAGCTTTTCTTGCTTGATTCCTTTGGTGCGCTTTACTGCATTGACACTTGACAATTGACAGAAAACCGCGGCGAAAATTTCTATTGCAAACGCCGTAGATAATCGCATTCAACACGGAGTTCGTGTATGTAAATGCTCGGCACAAGAAAACTATGAGTTCTTGATTCCGTTTAAAACCTTTGGTATGGCTAGCGTACTCGTAGCTAAGCCACAACAGTTGGTGAGGCATCATAAAAATCAGAAAAATAACAACAATCACCAGAAACATTTTCGCGGTCTTCTCATTCTGCATTTTCCTCTTTTGAAGTGAATTTATTGCTTTGTCCGCGGTGGTCTGCAGTAAAGCCTGTCCAGAACCCGATGTCGCGCTGCGAGATCTCTTCGTCTTGCCGGTACTAAGCTCCGCAGCTTTTCCAGTGTTTTTGCAAAGTTTGAGTCCAATCCACGTGTAAACTGTTGACATGACAATCACTGGCAGTCCATACTGTAACACAAAGAGCACAACAGTGTAGACTTTATCAAGGCTGTATCCATCAGGCCAATCTTCATCACAAATGGCGCCTTCTGGAGATTCGTTGTACTCCAGGATGACAACATAGGGAACAACAGCTAAAGCAGAAACAATGTGAATCGAGGCGATTATCTTCAAGCACTTTCCTTTCGTTATGCGGTACTGCAAGTTAAGAGGGCAAATTATCGAGATGTACCTATCCACTGATATGGCCACAAGAGTCAAAGCAGCTGCGTTTGTGGAAAAAGTCGCCAGCGGCCAAATTATCTTGCAAAGAACTCCGCCGTACGGCCAGTAGCCAAGTTCATACTCGGGTAAATCGAAAGTAATGCTGGACACAGTGGTAATTAAGTCGCAGGCTGCTAAATTCGCTGTAAAGAGCATTGGCACCGTCTTCATTTTCCGCAACAAAACAACCGTGAGAATAACCAAAGTATTACCAGTTACACTGAACAGAAAAATCAGAACAAATACACAATATCTTGGCACACGAAGATCCACAAGGCTCGGCGTTTCGTCCGTCGCATTTAGCGCCGATTCTGCACGCGTCCAAATTTCACCGTTGTTTTCGGTAGCGGTGTTCATTTTGTAATGACAGGAATGATAACAGCAGTATTTGACTCCACGACCAAGCGAAACGTTATGAGGTTCGGTTTATCTCAAGACGTAGACGTAACAGCTCAGCGAGTCCAAAGGCGTGACAAGATTTGTCATCGAGAATTACTGCTACGCCCGAAGCGCTAAGCAGGTTTTGCTTGGGATAACGGTTATGTAAAAAGCCAGAGAAAACTGGAATGAAGTCTCGCGATTTGTTGTTTTGAACGAATCTGAAGGCAAAGAAACTGAACGCAGGCCTCTACCCAATATCTACAGGAAACATTTGATGGTGCGTGGATCGAGACGAGATAAATGAAGCCAAAGATAAGAATCTTGTGTGAACCCACTCAACCGCACAAAGGAAAAGAATTTTTCACATTCTCATGTATTGAGTAAACAGTGATTATATACACCATATAACGCCGATTAATAGCTTAGAACTTTCTATTAAACATGGTCACGCGTCCTAACAAAACATAGCGCCTGCACTCGCAGCGATTCAGAAGAGAGCGCAAGTCGATTTAGCCTAATCTGCGTTGTTTCTCTGTGGCATATGCAAAGTGGTATTATGCCAGCATCATCCAGCAGATAATTGGTTATAATTGACCGCTAAATTATATCAGTTGCTATTTAGACGCTGACTTACAACGAAATGATCGTCAGATAAACTTTGCAAGTTTAGGTTGAAGGACCAGATATCTTTGTCAATGGCCGTTTTAAATGTCATGTTCATTTTGGAAGCGTGGAATAATTAGCAACCCCCCCGTTGACGTGCATCTTACTTTGAGGGTGTGCTGCGGCGGCAGCTGGGAAAATAAACTAAGATAACCTTATAACCTGTCACGAAATTATTGTAGCAGAGAATGTTTGCTGTCAAGCATGACCTCGGCTAGTTAATTACGAGTTGGCACCCGCTCGTTTCCCGCGGTCAGCGGGAAAGCCGACCTACTTTCTGTTGATGCACCTTCAACTTGTCAATGGATTAGTTAGTTCTCTCGTCTCGGATGGTTGTGCAGTGATATGGCTACACTGCAAACACTTGACGCAGCTTGTTAATACAAGCCGCTCACTCGCTTTCAAGAGGACACCATTTCCACAATCAATTTGTTTTGTATCATCTCCAGGATCGATTGCCAGCCGCTGTTCATGAAAGGAGCCCACGCTCTGAGGAGGAACGAAGATAGAACGAGGGCGGCGGAAATCACGTGTTTACAATTAAGTATATTGTGCGTGGATTCAGATTTCTCATATTTCTACGTTGTTCATTTAATCCTTCGGAAAATGTGATTCAGTGAAAAAGGTTATCTCTTTTCTTCTGTGTTTATTACGTTCGTTTTTACATGTCGAAAATCAAGTCTTCATTTTGAAAATTCGAGCTATGTTTTTGTGAGATCTGTTTCTGTCCGCTCCAGATCCAGACCACTCCAGTCCAGTTTCATTAAGTCCAGTCCATTCAATCCAGTGAATCTCGAGACCATCGAGCGATGGCTAAAGTTGAAGGGTAAATGGATCATTTTCACTAAGAGATTTCTTAGAGACAGCAGCATTTAATGGTTTTATTTTCTTTTAAATGTATCGAGTTTTCGTGCAAACCATGAATGTCTACCAACTTTGATTGATTTCATTTATGCGCAATAATCATTTGTTAGGTCACTGATTATATTGCAGCGTGTCTTGCTTAATTCTGTTGGGTAAATCTTGCCTCAAAGAGAAAAAAAAAAG